CCCCAAAACCCCAAAACCCCAAAACCCCAAAACCCCAAAACCCCACCTTTCAAGCAAGTTATAGATAAAGTTTTAATATAAAAGAATATGAAGGCTAACAAGATGAGGTCCTGGGATCTCTCAGCTAATATTTCTAGCTCAGATTCAGCTGATTTTAATTTCATGGGTACGCCTTCTCAAGATTTTCATACCATCATTTAGAATCTGATGAAAAAGTGCAGAGAGATTACATCATAGGATTCTTAGAAGCAAAATAAAGAAATTAAAGAAGAAGCTGTCATAGAGGATCTTAATAAGACCGATATTTCAGGAGAGGAGAAAAATGAGAGAGAAGTCGGATTAAAACAATATTCAGCAAGAATTCCATGCAAATTAGGCTTGAGGTACATTTTTAGCGAAGTTTGAGATTTTTAGTAAATAAAAATTAATTTTGATTTTTCTATTATTTTAGAAGCGAAATTAAGAACGATCAGCATCAGTTACGACAACCTTCTCCCCCAAATCTTTCTGATTTCAATTGAGATAATACTCCTCCAAACATCACAAAATCTATGAAACCAGAGCTGAAATGAAACTATATGAAGAAAAAATTCCTCCCAGAAAATCCTGAAAAATGTTGCTTATTAATAAAATCCTCAAATCCGATCAAGCCAACAAAGCCTGGAAACCAAAGAAGCTCCCATTTAAATACAAAAATTAGAAAAAGTGTACGTAAAAACCTGAATGCTCACTACCTTAAGAAAAGTGCTAAAAAATGGTAACTAAATTTTAACACAAATAAAAATAGTCCCCAACAAAAACCCCCAAATAAATTCCTCCACAGTTCAAAATCAGCTCTCACACTAACCAAAAAATCCACTAAAAAACCCCTCAGCACCCCCAAAACCAGTAAGTCCCTCCAAACCTCACCAAAAGCCTCCAAAATAACTCCTCTACCAACCACCGCACCCACCCTATTTCACAAAAATTCCTTTATTTCCACACACAGAAATCCTATTTTGACCCTAAATTCCACCTACAAATTTTCAAAGACTAAAAACTCTGCTTCCTTCCTGGTCCCAAGGAGTCTGGCAGGGCCCCAGAAGCACTTGAAGAGTTCTAGAAGTATTTATGTGCCTAAGAGTGATAGCCGGAAGTATAGTCTTGGCAGGCTTTATTGTACGTAAATATTTGTATAAATTCTCAACAGTTGTCGATTTTCTGGGGTTTTGGGGTTTTGGGGTTTTGGGGTTTTGGGG